TATATATATATATATATATATATATATATATATATATAGAGTTCGATATACATAACGAGACTTCCCGATTGTCATCCCAATGAAATCAGTCAGAGTATATATGTTATAACCATCAATTTAAAACATAAGAACAAGGGAAGAGAATTTTTGAGAACAAAAATCAGCACTCCTCAGTTAATTGATCTTTCGTGACGTAACCTTTAAAAGGATGTTGATAATGTGTGGATCATATTGCAGCCTATAGGCTTCAGTGTTTGACAGTATGACTACCTATCAATTGACCAATTCTCAAGCGACTTTTCTTTTAATTGTCCTTAAATTGTCCACCTTTCAATCTTCGGCTGTTGGGCACGCATGTCGTCCTATTCGTGGGTCTGTCTCTTTTTGCGCCACCAATGGATACCTTCTTCCTAGCTCAACAAAATTCTTCAAAAATCTTGCTTGCCTAACTGTTTTGATCCATACCTTTCAGCCTTTCTCAGATACCTGTTGGCATTATCGCTTTAAGATCAGCTTGAATCGGCAGTCAGCAAATAGCTTACAGCATCAATATCACCCAGGTCGTTGTCAAGACGAAAGTACCTAATTCGTGTTTGTAGTTGGTCTTCTTCAGAAATTTCAAGTGCTTCAGGTAAAGAAGTAAAGAACTATCGTTCAAAAATTTTAAGTGTCTACTGGACCCTTCCACAATCATCTAAAATAATCTGACTACATTGAAGATATCGTAGAGTATTAGCTTTTGAATGTTTCTTGGTGCCATTCGTTGAATATTTTTACATCTATTGATCAATAATCCGTTATCAATTTCGAAATATGGACTAAATTCTAACTAGATAGAGTCATAATTGCTAACTAGAATTCATGCATGATTAAAATATGATGAAGTGATAAATGGCATTCAAACAAGTATTTGTCTCAAAAGAATCCGGCATGACGCGACAAACATGTTGTTACTAATTGCAACACTATGGAATGTAGAATAAGTGTCAATGTGATCGAAATTTTAATCTTTTTTTAGTGACAGCTTTTAGTTCTCTCAATAGTATCTTCTAATTTCCTGCTACCACTTCCGATTTTTTTTAATGAAATTATTCATTGTTTTTGACTTCACTATATCATCACAATATATTCCAGAAGAAACTAGGAGCAAGTAAACAAGTAAATGTTATGGGCTTTTGACGAGAGATATCTTCCATTGAGTTTAACATTAGACAAGCAGAAAACCACATGATATTGTCAATAATGACATTTAATGACACTGCCTGACCTTATGATGGCATTCTTCGGTTATTTCTGATTTTTTTTCTCCTTACAGAACAACATTCTTCCAGTGTGTTAGTCAGGGGGAATGAATTCATTCTGTCTGGGGGATATTTCTCATTGTGAGACTTAATAAGAAGACCCTATACGAGCATTTTGCTAACAAATCTTAAACATTCACATTTGCACGAGGAAAAGAATAGAATTTTTTTTGCATCAATTCATATGTACTTTCTTTTACATGCATACACACACGCACGTGCACACGCGCACACAGACGTATACACATAAACACACAAACACACATACATACACAAGTACATACACATACATACATACACACACACATACATACATGCATATACACACGTAAAAATTTTAAAATAACTCAGATTATCAAATGAAATATTTTTCCAACAGAGATAGAACTCTGCAACTGTTACACTGGCAGAGTCTTCAGGTAGTGCTTTAATCGTGACTGCTTTTTTTAAAACTTTATTACGAAGTTTCTCTTATTTCCAATGAAACTCGATTTCCTCTTCATTTCTGTATCTCTTCTAGTTTCACAATTTGTTAACTAATTCTGTTCCATAGGATTAATTAGGATATAATTTTGGTATATTTCATTTACAATAAGGTATTGCACTAGCTTCGTTGATTCCCATTTTTTTCTGAGAACTTTTGATTCATTTAGCTGCAGAACAATTTATTTCGTGACTAATCCATTTGGATTAATCCTGAGGTATCCAGTTTTTCAGTTCTCACTCAATAGAGGGAACCACAGGAAGATTCGCTTCTATCTCATAATTAAAAATCTGATTCTCAGAAGAATTTTTAAAATATTATCCTTAGTTTTTTAATGATTCATTTGTAAGGTAACCGATTCATTTTAGAAAGGAATGAAAATGAATTAATTATTCCTTTGATTTCTATTCATCCCAATACAATTATTATAATGTTATTTGCAGAAGTGAAGGAAGTATTTTTTATGCTTCCAGCAAACCATGTATTGGCTTTTCTACGTAATTCTTCTTGATATCAAGAGGAAATAGATATGGAACTACAACAGCAGCTCGTTGATGGGGATCTTCCTCTCCCTACCACAACTGTAAAAACACCGCTCCCCGAACTTGGCATATTCCGTGTTGAGTAAGTTTTTTGGGCTTTAATTTCCTGAATTTAAAAACTTTGAAATAATCAAAATTTCACTCCTTATCAAAAGGAAATATTTGAATTATTAATTTCTGGGTACGCTTCTTTGCTATAACTGTCTTTTTTGTATTCATGATAATCAAAATAAGATGAAATTCATCTATTTAAACGACCACCATTGTTTCTTTAACCTTTTGCAATCTTTTAAACAAATCATAAATTCCTTTTCAGAGAAAGGATAAATTAGTCAGAATTCAACGCGGTAATTAATTACGCTTGAGTCTTGATTCATAAGCTGAACAAAATATCTAAAAGAGTAGGTTAACAATAATTCCAAACTTTTCATAAATACGAACGGGTAAGTAAATGAATTATTAGTGGATATTACTCCTGTTATCAACCATCTATAGACTAATTATGAAAATACATTAGAAACTCTGCAGAGCTATCCATGTATTTTCGTTATTATGGAAAAAATAAAAAGAAAATAAAGGTAAAAAT